GGGGGGGGGACGCGGGCGGGGGACCCCGGGGGCTTTGGGGACAGAAGGCCCATCCTCATACACCCCCCAGTGTGACACCCCCACCTCCTACCACCCTCTCCCCGTGTCACCCCAGCTGCGAGTGGGGACCCTTTGGGTGCAACCCTTGGGTGCTTTGCTTTGGGGACCCCCCGTGTCCCCATGTCCCCCCAGCCCCCCCATTTCCCTCCCTCCCCAGCAAATGCCCCGAGGGCACCTGTGATGGCTGCACCTTCCACTTCCTCTGGGTGACGGGCGAGGGGTGTCCCCGCTGCTCTGCCACCCACTACCGCCCCATCGTCAGCGCCTGTGTGGGTGGCATCCAGGTACAGGGGTGACAGCGGGGACAGGCAGCACCCACCAGGCAGTGTCACCCACCCGGGGTGGGCAGGGGGCTTGTGTCACCTCCCTGGTGACGGCTGGGCACTGGCAGACACTGTCATCCCCCCAGGGTGGGTGCGGGGGGCTGGTGTCACCTCCCTGGGGACAGCTGGGGATCAGCGTCATCCAGCAGTGTCACCTACACATGATGGTTGGGGGGGACACGACTGGAGTCACCTCTTTGAGGACAGCTGTGGGGGTGGCATCACCCAGCTAGACAGTGTCACCCACCTGGGATGGTCAGAGGGTTGATGTCACCCCCCCCAGGGTCAGATGCTGTCACCCACCTGGGATAGCCAGAGGGGTTGGTGTCACCTCCCTGGGGACAGCTGGGGCTGGCATCACCCACCCAGGCAGTGCCACCCACCTGGGACAGCCAGAGGGGCCGGTGTCACCTCCCTGGGGACATCTGGGAGGCTGGAATCACCCACCTCAGAGAGTGTCACCCTTTTGGTGACCCCCCTCAGGGTCAGATATTGTCACCTACCTGGGATAGCCAGAGGGGCTGGTGTCACCTCCCTGGGGACACCTGGGAGGGGCTGGTGTCACCTCCCTGGGGACATCTGGGAGGGGCTGGTGCCACCTCCCTGGGGACACCTGGAAGGGGCTGGTGTCACCTCCCTGGGGACACCTGGGAGGGGCTGGTGCCAGCTCCCTGGGGACACCTGA